AACGTGACGCGACAAAGACCCTTGCTCTCTCGGCGTGTCCTAGATAAATCTGTAGGTATGATGCGTCGTGGTCGCGCGTTCGCGACCACTTAGCATTAAACTATAAAAATAAATCGATGAATCATTGCGAGGGGGAGAGAAGGAGCGAGTTACGGTGGTGTTCGCACGGGAGATGAACGAGGCCCCGACGCGGCGAGTTATCTCGCGGTGCGCGGTTCATTAACGACACCGTCGATTAGGCATCGCGAGTGAAATCTCGTTTATTCGTGCGACGACAAGCCGAGGAAAATATGCGACCTAAGTACAAGTATCAGCGATCCGACATATATCACGAGGAGTTGGAGAAATTAAGGAGCGGAACGGGTACGAGACGACGCGCGTCCTTTCTACAAACGGCAAATATCATTTGGCACGGCTGACGATGGCCACGAGGCGACTTTCATTAATTCGACTGGATAATAATAGGTATCCGTGAGGTCTGCGTCGTGAGGTCGTTACGATTAGGCGAGTCATCGTGGCTTTCTATAAATAACGGGCGGAGACAGACATCGCTAGGGGGTGGGAAAGGGAGACGCGCAAGACGAAGAGACGGAAAGAGAGAAGGGAGGAGAGTAATCTCGGTTTCACCACCGTCGCCGTTACGGTGCGTCGACGAGTGTCTCGGGGGAAACGAAAAGGTGGTTGACGTTCGGATAACACATGTCCCGAATGTGTTCCGGACACGCTGGTACGAGGGAACGAAAGAAAAATAGGGGCGGTCTGTAGCAAGATGGTGGCCGTAGATCGTTCGAAATTACCTGCGAGGTAAGGCGATTCACGCGATCGCTCCGATACGGCACGGAGGTTTTCCTCCGTGAAACGCATTCTTTCGCGTTCGACGTTCCAAATTATTCTTCCCTTCTACCTTTCATCTGCATTTTATCTATCTTTCCTTATAATTCTAGGGCATGTGGAAGAGTCGCATCGCTACGCAGCTACGATTAATTACCAATAGTTCGAGCGGTATCTGAACCCATAGGAAAAAAAAAAAAAAAAAAAATAAAAAGGAATTCTCGATCTCTTCGCGCGGCGTGTCTCGGAATGGCGCGAAAAACCGCATCGCACGCACGTGTGCGCACGCGGAGCGGCGCACGCACGATGCGACGACGCGACGCAATGCGATGCAACGACGAAGCGCGGGAGCGGGGGGAGGGATAGGAGAAGAGAGGAGAGGAGGGAGAGGTGGAGGAGGCGCGCGCGCGCGCGGAGGAGACGCGCGGCGTTAGAAAGGGAGCGAGAGGGAAGGTACCGTCAGAATGGTGTGGTGGGGCTCGGAGTTTCGCCGACGATCTCGGCGGCACTCCGTCGTAGTGGGGAAGACTAACCCACGAGGGGTTGCGGAGGGAACGAGCGTGGACGAGCGGTTATTTCAAGCGACGACTCTTCTGGCACTTCGCCCCGAGCTTTCCTCGTGCACGTCCTCCTCTCGGAGTAGCGCTGCCACGAGTGCCGTCAGTGTCGCGACGTCGAAGCCTCGAGGAGACCGAGACTTAGACAGAGAAAGAGAAAGAGAGAGAGAGAGAGAGAGAAAACAGGCAATCAGAGAGCACAGGAGCCGTGCGCGTCGAAATAAAAAATAATAACAAGTCGCCGATCGATCGATCGATCGATCGATCGATCAGTTAAACGAGTTTGTTAACCGATAATCTCGAGCCAGTATCGGTGACACAGTGACAAGAGTCTTCCGAGGGTGATAGTCACGGTGTCAGTGTGTGGATGGACCGTTTTGTGTTTCGGTGAGACGATTAAGAGACACGCGAGAACGAGAAAACAGTCGCGGGTTAAGACAAATTTTCGAGGAACTCTCTCTCTCGTCTTCGGGAGAGCCAAAGGATGAAACGCGCGTGGAAAAGAGGAGCAAAGGAGGATCTGTAACGACGACGCGCCGCTGTCCGACGCGTCGGCCTGAAATAACAGCGGGAATGCGTGCACAGTGAATCAGCTCTCGTTCGTTCCTCAGCGGACGCGAATCTTCTCTCGGCGGTGACTCCGGCACACGCACTTCTTCTCGCCACCCCTCCTCCCTCTCTCGCGTGCTCAACCCTTTCTCGGTCAAGTGCGGTGCGTCGCGTCGGTGCGTGGCTCGCGATCGGCGCCGGTGCTCGGCAAGGGTGAGAAAGAGAGAACTGAGGTTCCTGAGAGCGGATTGAGAAAAGCCAGAAACGCCAGAAGCGTCGCAGACGGAGAAGTCGGAGCGGGGGAGGGACGAAGGGAGTTTTCGAGACGCCGCCGAAGGAGTTTTCTCGGAAAGGAGATCGCGAGCATCGCAACACAGTGAGTATACTCCCGCCCGCTCTCTCACCGTTGTAGATAGAGATAGATAGGCGCGAAAACGTAGGCGGATCGTCAGAAATTCGCGAGGCCAAGTTATACCACCTCGTGCCCGACGAAAATTTATCACGTGAGAAATTCGTAGTTTACTAAAACGCCACGCCGAATCTGTTTGGCCACAAATTGCCACTCGTTTTTCTAGCGATCGCCGTTCCTAGAAAAGCCATGAGTCATTTTCAACTCGACAAAGTCGAAGCAGCAATAAAACAACGCCAACGACGAATTCTTCATATATATATATATCTGCGTAATCAATTGAATGAATTAACGTGACGGAGAATAATAAACGTGATTGACTCAACGATGAAAACATATTATGTATAGAGGAGTGCGTCGTGCAAGCACACGTAGGTACATCGCGGAAACGCGTATGCGTGATCGGAAGTAGCCAGAGAACGCGGGGCGATGATGCGTACGATCTATCGATAGATTGCGGGGCTTTGCTCGCACGCGTGCATGCGAGCGGGAAGACATCGTTCGGGAATGCAACTTTAATTGGTATTGCCTCGTTGCTCGATTAAAGCGGACTCGTGCCATTTATTTCCCGATGCGTCCGATCGCGTCTCGCAAGAGGTACGCGGACCGCACGCACGTCTCCACGTGGAAAATTTCTAACTTATAAGTGTCTTCTTTCCGATAATATTGAACAAATATATTGGGTATTTATTTTAGGCTTTTTTGTCAAACATTCTTTCTTAATGATATTCTTAATATCTTCGATAATGAAGTATATTTTAAGTATACCGCGGAGATATATAGACTCGACGCAAATGACGCCATCAAGATAAGCTCGCTGACCAAATAATTAAACAATTCTTTGAACTTTAACCTTGAAGACAGAACGATGATTTAATCCCTGTCCCTTCTCGTTTTCATTTTATTTTATTTCTCGTTCCCTCTCCTTCGTACCGCCATTGATAATGAGAGAGCGCGCGCAGGTAACGATTAAGAAACTCGGCAAGGCGATCGGTGTAATTGATCGGCTAATTAATTTGGAGCGAAAAAGATATTCTATCGCGATAAGGCCAATTTCTCTCCGTGACCCTCGTCGTGTTCCGAAGGTGTGGCTAAATCATAGAGGTAACGTTGAATAAAAGTCGACTTTTATACGCTAGCTAAAGAGCAAAGCTATTAATTCGACGCACTCTTTACCCGTGCGAGACGTGGCAAAGTTTACCCCCTGCACGTCCCTCGGCCAGGCCAGGCGGCTTATTTAGCAGGCGGGAGAAAGGGGAAGTAATTTATTCCGGCTTTACTTAATCTCTTCCCTCGCGTGTCTCGTCGACTCGGCCGAGTCTTCTTTAATCCAAATTCCAGATCGAGAAAGGGAGCGTTCGCGCGAGCGCATGGACAAGCGACAAAGAGGGGAAAGAGAGAGATCTAGAAAACGCGCGCCTGCGTCGAGATCCCTCGACGATGAATCAGATTATCGTCCGGAGTAAATCGCCGCGGCAACTCCGCGCGATCATTTGCCGCGCTACGTTTTTGGCTACGACACGCTAAACGATTTCGTAAAGTAATGGCGTTTCGGAGCACTTAATCCCCCGTTAAGTCTCCGTAAGTTGGCGCCGTCGTGGAACGAAATGCTCGAATTTCGGGTCCCCTCGAAGATGCTTTCCCTCCTCTCCCGCCCCTTGACTCGGCACGAAAATAATCGCGCCTCAGCGTGGCACTTTTTCCTGAATTATAATATAAACAATCGATGTGAATTATAATATAAACAATCGAGCGACACGCCGATTGGAGTGGAGTGGAAGTGCCGCAAGATCGTCCCGAACGAATCATAAAGCAAGTAACAGTGTTCGCTTCCGGTGTTTACACAAGTAAAACGCCACGAGCAGATTCGCGCGCAAACGATAATATACACGCTCTAAATGAATTACACGCGCGTTTCTTTGCCTCCCGTATTGTCCACGATCGCGTGGCTCGCATGAGTCTTCGCGCATCCGGTGATATCCAGGCTGTGTCTTGCGAAATTGCTGATTAACATCTCTAAACGTCCGAGACGAGACACCGACAGTCCGTTTCACCAAACATTAAACAGGGTCGATTTCACGCGATTGTTTAGCATAGAATTTAATCTTAAAACCTCTCAAATCGAACTTCTAAATATTCTGAATTTAAATATCCTTTCACTTAAAAACGGATTGAATAGATTTAACGTCCTCTTAACGTTCGTTTAAGCGCTTCTCTAAAGCTAAGTAAGCATGACTTGGATATTATTCGTGTAAAAGTCAAAGTTCTGACTGGCGGTTTTTTTGTAAATGTCCTCGAATGGCAAGATCCCCGCAACATATGTACAATGTGGCGCATTGTATGCCATTTTCCTCGGCCCTTCGTCCTTTCGATTCTCTCTCGCTCACTCTTTCTCGTATAGGAACATGTCAAAGTACCCGCGAAGGATTTATTTCATGAATGCGAAACGAGAGAAGAAGACAAGAGATGTCGGACAGAGAGAGAGAGAGAGAGAGAGAGAGAGAGAGAGAGAGAGAGAGAGAGAGAGAGAGAGAGAGAGAGAGAGACGA